CCCTCCCTTCTCCCTCCCCCCTCCCCATATTCTTAGGCTATTTGGTTATAGCTTTCATATAAAAAGTATAAATTAGTTTCATAATAGGGGCCTATACATTGGATACTTAGCAAAGCTAGTCTTGCTACACAGATAATAACCTGTGGTCAAGACTGACTAGGGCACTATCCTGAGAAAGAAGAGCAGAAGATGCATTTAGGGCCTTTCTGATTCTCTTGCCTCCTCTTGTCTTAGGGTTTCTACTGGGTTAATGGAGGTGTCTTTAATTTCCTCGTGGTATATTCCTTAGTAACTTAGTATGTCACCCCGCATACATTCTTACTGTTGAGTCTGAGTGGGTCTTGATCAATGACTCACAACTTTTTTTCTAAAAAACACCCATAAAGAATTCACCAGTAGTGATGGCATGCTTCTCTGGCTGGCCCAAGTGAGGACTCAGTGGAGTGTAGCACCCTATGCTCAGCACTGCCTGCCCTGCCCCCTCTCCAAGACTTGGGTGTCCTGGCTTTGGGGACCAGGAGAAAGAACCTGGTACTCCAGTGTCTGCTTTTTCCTGACTGTGTAGTCACGAAAGGCTTCAGGTTCCTCCTCTGTAAATGGCAGGGTTGGAATTCATGGGTTGACACGGACCCCTTTGCAGGGGGCCTTGGGACCATATAGTGCAGCCTCATCCTGTCTTGTGTAGCTCCTGGTGGCCTTCAGGGTTGGTTCCTGGGTCTTACACCGTGTGGCCTGGTCATCCCTGCCCAACAGCCCTCCTGTTCCTGGTGCCCCAGGCCCCCACCTATCTCTGAATACAGCTGTGCCAGTCAGGCCTGGAGCCCTCGCCCACACTGCTCTGGGTGTACAGTGTACATTTCTTTTCTTCATGACTGTTGCTAGGAAAGGAAAAAAATGCTCCATTTTATTCACTGTTCCATATCATAAGACATGGAATTGGCATTGTTTGGAAGAAATAATCAAGTTCTCGATACAGCTTCTCAGTCGCAGAGAATCATTGAAGTGATAAATGTATCTGATAGATAATGAGTAGACATGTTTTGGGTTTTGGGTTTAGAAATCTAATTGCTGTCCTAGACTTCAGAATGATCATTGCTTCTGTGGCCGAGAGGCCTCAGCAAGCAGAGTGTTTGTGCAGTCATAGCCCTGGCTCTGTTTCAGGATGTAGCCGTTGCAGCTGTGGCCGCGCTCTGCAGCGAGTACTACCCACAGGAGCCGGGGCAGGCGGCCCCCATAGGGCACGGTGAGTGGTGTGGGTTCTAGCAAGGGCAGTGTCCAGGCATTCTAGACAGCAG